CACAGCTGTGAAATTAAAAGGGTTTCTTGCAAAGCAGTGATTAACACATTACCGCAAATGACGGTAATACATAGGGGAAAATAGAAAAAAAGTGTTTCTAAGCACGGGCATGTGCTGCGGCAACGGCAACGTGTCAATGCCAGTGGAAAGCACATCGTTGTGAGTTACAATTCTATCATAAAGTTTTGTATGCTTAAACAATTTTTTTGTATGCTTAATTAGATTTGGAAAGGGTATCAAAGGTACGCAAAGAAGGAATGATAAGTGATTGCTTGATTTTGTTCCTGACCGTTTCAGTTTCTCCACGTTAAAGGAATTGATAAAACCTGGTGTTTCAGTTAATTGTTACAATGGAGACTCCACAAGTGGACGGCTTTAAAGCACTTAGTTGTACTCCTAGATTTTCAGAGCCTAGAAGTCTGCATTTCAAGGTTCAGTTCTAGGGGCAGGTCCTGCCCTGAGTCCTGGAGGAAGGAAGGTCCGAAGTCCTGGCGTTCCTCGGACATTTCCTTGTCCTGACCTTCCCCTTTGTGTGGTGCGTCCTGAGACAACAAGGCCCAAGTCTAAATGCTCTCACCCCACTCCTTGTGCTGGGGTAGGATGGAGGGGGGCTGCTGGTGGCCACGAAGAGAACGTTGACGTGTGTTGTGTTGAGTATGTGAAGGCATTGGACTGTGGGGATCCTAACAGAGTATGGAGATCGTTGAGAAATCGGAATCTTAGACTGAATCAGGTTGTGGAACCTGGACTCCTCCACATCTTCAGAGAATCACAAACCTAAAATGATTTGCAGTCTTCTGTGTGTATTTGCACCAATACTTTTCTACCAGAAGTCAGATTCATTTGGATTTCTAAGTGGATCTCTTCCTATGAAACTCTAAAAGCTCCTCAAGGATCCCAGCCAGAAGGACTTCCCCACCCACAGTCACCCCGTAACCAGCAGTGCACCCCAATCATGAACGAGGAGGAAGATCTGAAGACTTGTCTGTCTGCTCCGTGTTGAGAGACGTGGCTGGTGTAATTACGCGGTTTCCCAGTTCAGTGCGAGGGGAAAATCATCAGGTCACACAGTTTGGTGGGTGGAGAGGAGGGGTGGGTAAACGAAGTGGGGAAGACCCATCAGGGATCTAGAAAGACAGGGTGATGTGAGCATTCAGTGTTTATTAATTTTATAAAACATACTGAATGGAAATGATTGTATGAAACAGTGTGCATGAAGGAAAGTGTGAAACACAATGTGTATAAACTTTCTTAGCAAAAACCAGGATTTTGAAGCTCCGTCTTCCATACTTGGGCATGTGGCCAGTAGGGGCTGGCCCTTAGAGAAGGACATCATATTTAGAAGGGTGGAGGGACAGAACAGAAGAGGAAGACCCTGGATGAGATGGATTGATACATAACTGGGGTAATGGGGGTAGGTGTGTTGGAGTCAGGAAGACTGGTTCAGGACAGGGCAGGCTTTAGAACTGGTGTACCTAGGGTCGCTGTCACTTGCAGATGACTAGACAGCATGTAACAATAACAAGAAGAAATAAACTAATAGTGTTATAGACTTTTCATTTTCCCATATTTAAATAAATGAGGTAAAAACATGTGGTTGTCTCTGTTGCTGAGAATCTGCACAGCAGTATATACAGCAGTTCAGCAGTTTGTACAAGGACAGTTCTCTGACAGTGGGGACATTATTTGGGTTGTTTGAGTTGATGTGTTCTTGCCGCCGATCTGACTTACTCCTCCCCCTTGCCATCTCTCTGTCCTCTGAGGTTTTAAAAGATGGTTCATGCTCGTGTCAGGTATTTTTTCTAAGTAAGATGAAGTGCTGCTTACTTTAAGACCTCAGGGAGTATTTCTGGTTTATGGTTTGAAGATTCTGTCAGGGGAGTAGTTTATAGGATACACCCAGGCCTTATGGCCACAGGAAGTCTGGATTCTGTCAAATTCTCCACTGCTGCCTGGAAACTCGTGGCTTTGCCTGGGGGCCGGCTGACTGCTGTGTTCTGGATAGAGGAGAGTCCTGTGTGTGGTCAGGTCTCTGGATTACACCTCAGGAGGTGCAAAAAACGTGCAGGAGGAGCGTGTTAACTCACTTTAGACAGCAAAGTGTATTGTCTGCAGACGTGGAGCTGTGGAAGACCAACAACAGCACACACATGTGTGCACACACGCATGTACACACGCACACGTACACACATGCACTCATGGACATGCACACGTTCACGAATGCAGGTCCTCCAAAAAAAGGACAAAGGAGTCAAAATGAGGAGAAAGATAAAAACAAAGGAGACCGATCTCTCCTGCTATTTGACTACTGGTTTACAAAGAAAGCAGGTTTTTTTGAAAAATTATTTGAGTAAGTGTACAAAACTTTCGTTTCATTCACTCATTTTGTTTTTCAGCATTAATTAGTATTATTTAGTTATAATGTCGAATCCGCCCCTTACCATTTACTTCCCTTCTCCCGATTTTTTCTCTTTATTGCTTTTCTCTCCCCTCTCCCTCCTTTGGCGTCCTTGGTGACCAGCAGAGGAAACATTTTTAAAAGTTGACCTTTGATTATGTAATGAGCTCAGTGTATTCAGGGTTCCTAAGCTGCACGTGTACAGGGGAAGTGTGTTGATGTGTTTGCAGAATATTTTCTGGACGACAGTAGTACATTTAAAAAGTTCAAAAGATTTGAAACATTGACATTTCCGAGTGGCTATTTGACCCTAACCATTTATTTTTAATTTTCAAATGTCATAATAGTTAGTCTTTAAAGAGTTAAAAGTTTTCTTAAAGAAGTATTTTTTCTTAATTTTTTTTTTTTTTTAATTTTTCTGTGAGTGTACCGTCAAATCAGATCTGACTGGTACAGGAGGAGATTGTCCCTCCTTCCCCGGCAGAGCATCTGGTGGATTCAAACCGTGTGCCTCTGGGATTGTAGTTGCAGCTCCTTGCCACTAGGCCACCAGAGCTCCCCTAAGAAGTATTTTTACAAATATAATAAAAAATCAAGCTTTCTTTTTAAAATATAAGGGATGTAACGGCTAACCAGGTAACCCCCACTGCCCTCCGTGGACACAGTTCTCATACTGGCAAAACCGTGCGGGACTTCCAGGCTGTGATCCAGTTAGGCCAATGCCATGCGGGACCTCTGAGGCTGTGATCCGATCCTGGTGACGCCGTGTGGGAGGCAACTTCCGCTCTGTCACAGCGCCCTCGTTGCACAGTGCACTGCGTGTCTCGGGCTCCTTCATCGAACTGGATTAGAGTTACTGTATTTGCACATGATTTTGAGTCAGCTAATACAGCCATGATACATTATACAAGATTTGCGATAGTTTTTGAATACCCTATTTTAAATGAAGACTATATTGAGATAAATTTTTCTTTTCAGATGCACTGTGAAACTTGTACATTCTGGAACTATGTAGTTACCTCACCTTCTAAAAGTTTTCCTTCTCCCATTTTAAATAAACACCTACCACTACAAGATAAAGGTAAATAACCCAGTTGAAAAATGGGCACAGGATATGAACAGACACTTGACCAGAGAAGACATTCAGATGGTGAATAAACACATGAAGAACTATGTTCAAAATCCCTAGCTCTAAGAGAGATGCAAATCAAAACAACTATGAAATACCATCTCGCCCTAGTAAGAATAGCAAAATTTAACAGAACAGCAAACAACAAATGCTGGTGAGATTGTGGAGAAACGGGCACCTTTATTTACTGTCGGTGGCAGTGTAAAATGGTGCAGCCACTATGGAAGGCTGTATGGCTTTCTCAGAAGTTGCCAGTAGAATTACCATTTGACTCAGAACTTCCACTACTGGAAATTCACCTTTAGGAAACCATAACTGCCACCCAAGCAGTTACATGCACACCCATGTTTATCGCATCTTTGTTCACAACAGCCAAGAGTTGGAAACAACCTAAGTGCCCATCAGCAAATGAATGGATAGAGAAGCTGTGGTATATTCACACAGTGGAATACTACGCTGCATTGAAAAACAAGGAACTCAAGAAATATTATTCAAAATGGGTGACCCTGGAGGACATGATGCTGAGTGAAATATCTCAGTCACAAAAGGACAAATACTGCACAGGGCCACGGTTGTTAAACAGGACTGACATAGGGGTTGGGGGGGAGACTGAGAAAGATGGGATAAATTACATATACTGCATTGAAACAGATAAGGGAGAGAACTGTTTAAAAGGGAAATATGATTAAATATTGTTGTCATTACAAGAGTCCAGAATGAAGGCTGCGCAGTGGAGTGGACTGGGGAGAAGGGGGGTTTGTATAACAGTGAAAGAATTTTGCTTTTCAAAGAGAAGAACAAACTGGGGGGGGAGGGGTGGGCAGGGAGAAAAATGCAACAAGGAATGACTGGAAATCCAAAGTCTTTGTAAATGTTTACTAAAAATAATAATTTAAAAAACCCACCTACATTTGCACCTGTTCTTGCTGATTGAAAGAATTCCAAGACATTTTTTTTTTTGTTAGGAAGGTGACCAGTGTGGGTTTTGCTCGGGGCCCTTCAGAGGCAGTGCGGCGATGGCACCGTCCCTTGAGCTGTGTCTTTGAGCACGTGTGCCAGTCCTGGGCTTGTGTAGGCTTTGGGAAGCTGTTCGTGGGGTCTCCGTGCCTGGGAGTGGTCTTGCTTTGTGTCTTTATGCCACGTGGGCTTACACAGCTTTTCCTGGGAGCCTTTGGACAGCCACGCAAGCCGCACACCAGCACCAGATACGTCCACTTGTATGTGCTGTACCAGTAGTTGAGTCCACGCTGACTGAGGCTGCCCCACGCCTGGCACAGGAGATCTGTGCTCCACAGGGCTGGCAGGGGCTGGTTCTTCACAGAAGTTTGCCAGTCCTTTGTTCCGGGTGTCCCTGGATAGATGCAAACCTTCTGCTTCCAGTTAACAGCAAGTGTGCTAAGCGTTTGTATCACCCAGGGACTCTGTATATTTGTTCCATGGATCCTTGTATTTGAACTGTGTCTGTATTGTTTAAACATTTTTAAAAGATACTTAAAATTCTTAGTTATCACAAAGGACATCTTAGGTCTAGCGATGTCAGAATATTCTTAAGGAGCGCTGGCCGCATAGTAGATTGTTCTGTTGGTAACTGAAAAGTTGGTAGTTCGAGTCCTTGGAAAAAAGATGAAGCGGTTTGGCTTTAAGCCTTAGAGTCCCGGAGACCCAGTGGAAGGCATTGATCCTGATGGAGTGGGTTGAAATATGTTTCTCAGCAGAGTTGGGCTGGTTCTTTTTTAGAGTATTACCACCTCTACAGTGTAGCCAATAGCTATTCACCAGTGTAACCACCGTGCACTTGGTTCAGTTGACCTGGCTCTGCTTTGATTCACTATGTAAACTCTCTTTTTAGTGAAATACAAATAAATGAGCTACCGATCAAACTCCTAGTTTTTTAAAAAGTATCCTTTTGTCCCTTACTGTTTTGTCAGGTTTAATGACATCCATGTCCCAATCCGCCTGGAGTGTGTGAAGTTTGCCAGCCACAGCCTCATGAACCATCCCGACTTGGCAAAGGACCTCACAGGTACTGTATGTATGTTAGTGCGATGCTGCTGCCGGAGGTGCCTTCCTGGGGTTGAATCGGGGACCCCCCTCCGCCTGCCCTCGTTGTGAGGTGTGAACTGTGGAGCTGAAGTTCACGCCGTCACAGTTATTCCTAGGAGCTACAGTTGGTACAGCCTGCTGTTTCCTTGGACTTAACACCCCTCTGTGAACTCCGTGTGCATTTCCTAGTTCATGGGCAATTCTCGGAGGTCTCAGGCGCTCTGGGATTTGAATAGGTCTTGACTGTGAGCCAGTGATCAGACTTGAACCTGTTTCACACTTTGGGCATTTAAGTAATGTCAGTGATGAACAGAAAGGCTCTTGGTCAAGTTCGTGGAGATGAGCTTTCTAACACTGGTGGAAGCAGAAGTCCCTGTAGTCGTGAGGATAGCACCTCTTGGACTGTTGCTGAGCCTTTAGGTCCTAGAGACAATGGTGACAGCAGATCCTGTGTTCCCACAAATGTTAACGTTTTCTCTATTTGCCTCCACGATCAGAAGAGGCAGTAGCAGATCCAGTTGAAGTGCTTCACAGACTGCTCCTTCCCAGTGTAGCCAGAGCTGTGGCCTTTCAGCCTGAGTGGTTGTGTCTTGTTGGTGTCACAACCAAGCCACAGATGCTTGTGTGTGCTTCAGTCTTGTCATGTGCTTTCAGATTGTATTGAGACAGTACCATTTGAGTGCCGTGACGTGGTGAGCGTGTTCTGCTGCGTGATGAGCTGCCTTCTCATGTGAGTGTGCTGTCAGGAGGAGCCAGGCTTCTGGAGAAGGACAGCATGCTTGGGAGCATTGAGCGTCAGCGGAAGATTCAGACCCTCAGAGAAGTGGGCTGACACAGAAGCTGCAGCTTTGGGCCAATAGGGCAAGAAATTGTGAGGACACACAGGTGTGACCGGGTCTCCAGCTGTGCCTGGGCCACTCGTGTGTGTCAGGCCTGACCGGGTTTCCATCCGTCCATCGGCCACTCCTGTGTGTCAGGCCTGGCCAGGTTTCCATCCGTCCATCGGCCACTCGTGTGTGTCAGGCCTGACCGGGTTTCCATCCGTACATCGGCCACTCCTGTGTGTCAGGCCCATCCTGCTTACACGAGCTGCTCCTGTACGTCAGACCTGACCGGGTTTCCCTCTGTGCCCAGGTCGCTTGTGTGTCGGAGGTGACTGTGGCACTAGGCACCCGTGGACATTCCTGCCTTATTCCGCGTCTTGTCGTCTGTCCTCGGCTGCTCTTCCTCTCTCCCCAGCTGCTGGTCATTGGCTTTCTTTTCGCCCTTCCTCCCACAGTCATGGACGTGTGCTGTTTTCCGGCCTCTCCTGTGTGTGCTTTGCCAAGTCTCATCTAAGTGATTGGCTTTGTTCTAGGGGACCAGCCACTCTAGACCCCTTGCCCCAATTCCACTGCGTTGCTTTCCTCAGTATTTAGCCTTTTTCTTTTCACATTTTTCACTTTCACATTTTAGTCTACTCTCACTGCTTTGTCGTTGTGTGGTTTTTCTCACTCTTGGATCTTAATTCAGTCTCCCCACGGTCCCCTGACGAAATCCCCCACGAGACTCTCTTTAGGTGCTTTTCACAATCATCTTTGACAGGAACGCTGCCACATTTGCTTGCTTGGGGTGTGTGCGTGGGGGGCAGTTGCTGGGTTCTCAGTGCAGTGCACCCTCCCCTGCTGTCCTCTCGCATCTGGGGGTGTTTGTCCAGGTCGAAGCCCTGAGTCAAGCAGGCCTGGCTTGGTGCCAGTCTCTCTAAAGCATGTGCTCACTCTGTGTCTGTATGTCCCATTTTGGATATTCTCCAATATGATGAATTTTATTGTAATAGACTCATGTCACTTACTCACTGTCTGCACGGTGGCCCCAGAGGACGGAGGGGAGCCTCCCAGTGTTCCCAGACTGTCCTTATCACAGGAGACTGTCTCATCTTTGTCCCGTGGAGCCGCTGGTAGACTTGAGCCCCCGACCTCTCAGCTAGCAGATCATCCCTCCCGGCACCCCAGGACTCCGAGTTCCTGTCAGGGCGGTAGTCACAGCAGGTGGTTTACGCTTTCTCCAGGAGTCTCCTCAGGAGCCTGTGCTCCGCCTGGAGCCTGTCTTCCTGTCCTTGTCCTCATCCATCCCTTGGACCTCGTGGCTGGCCGCCAGTGTCCTGGATGCGGGGCCCTTTACCTCGGAGTCGAGGCTGGCTACCAGCATCCTGGATGTGGGGCGCTCTCCCTTGCCTCTCTCTCTCTGCTGTCTTCCCTTCCTCCTTGACCCCCATTGTCACCTTTCCTGTCCCTGCCATCCTCTCCCTCACTTCTCCACTTTCTTTTCTTTCACCTCCCCCCCCTTCGCATAGTTGACGGCTCTTTGTGGAATGGTGTCTGTATTCTCCATCACATGTGGGTCCTCATTTGAGTCTGTCACACCACCTGCAGCTGTCGCTTTCCTGAGGAAGCTGTGTGACATCCCTTGTGTAGCTTCTGGTGTGTCCACCTTTACAGACAAAATAAAGATGGTGCCTGCACAGTCTTTCCAAATGTGACTGGTTAACGTCCACATTCTTAATGGAGGACACCCTCTCTTTCAGAGTACCTTAAGGTGCGCTCCCATGACCCTGAGGAAGCCATCCGCCATGATGTGATCGTGTCGATAGTCACAGCGGCCAAGAAGGACATCCTGCTGGTCAATGACCACTTGCTGAATTTTGTGAGGGAGAGAACGTTGGACAAGCGGGTGAGTGCGTGCGTGGGACATTTGCTGGGTGCTCAGTGCAGTGCGCCATCCCCTGCTGTCCTCGCGTATCTGGGGGCGTTTGTCCAGATCGAAGCCCTGGGTCAAGCAGGCCTGGCTCTGTGCCGGGCTCCCGCCAGCATGTGCTCACTCATGTCTGTCTGTCCCATTTTGGACATTCTCACAATGTGATGAATTTCTTCGCAGTAGACTATGTAGTTGTTGTCGTGCCGTTGAGTCAATTATGACTCTTGGTGACGCTACTCACATTGATTCTGAACCTTACCTTCCCCTGTCCTGAGCCAGTGGCACCATCTCTGACACAGCTGACCCCATTCCATAGTGCCAGCGTGAGGGCTCAGCCTCCAGGCTGTATCTGACCATGCTCTTTCATTCATCAGGTTTTCAGAGATCAGCTGTTTCAGAAGTGGGTGGCGAATTCTTCCTCCTGGTCTGTCTGAATCTGGGCGTTCTGCTTCAGCACAGTGTCTGGCAGACAAGCCCTGGACCCATAACAGCAGACGATAAACATACACACACACATCTAAACTGCTGAGAGCTGCGTCATGCAGAACACTTCCCAGATACACTAGGAAACCGAAAATGTATGTGACTCCCTTTATTGTTTGAGGATTGATAGAATTTGAAAATATTGAGGTTTGAATGCAAAAGACCTTTTTTTTTAAAAAAAAAAAATCTTGATTTGAAAAAACGTTTAACCCTCCCTTCACCCTTCATGTTTTTAAGGAAAACACTTTTAAAATTGCATTACTGAAGTGATGCTTTGTGCTGGGCTGGCTGCCATTAGTTCTCTTTGTCCTTGAAGACAAGGTGGCTCTGCTGGCAGGGCTGAGGCAGGCGGCTGGACTGTGCCCACCTGACCCTCAGGCCGCTGGTGTCCTCCTTGCCTCCCCTGTAGGGGCTGGGCTCACGTGGGCTCGGGCCCATGGCTGCCATCGCTGGCTTGCTCTCTGCACTGGTGAGCCACTCCCCCTGAGACCCACGTCTCTTGTGTGTCTGTGGTGCCGGGGCTCACAGGCACTAAGGAGACAATGCTGTGGATGTCCATGGTCCCCCGTTCCCCCACCCTGACCTTCAAGGCAAGCCAGAGGTAGCCCCACACGGTCTCCAGGTTGTAAATCCTTTGGGAGCAGACTCTCACATTTGTCTGCATTAGAGCCACTGGTGGGGTCAGACGGTTGGCACCGTGCAGTGCTTAACGCCTAGAAGCATGAGGACTCTTGCTTCACGGCATGGCCTCTGCCAGCAGAGTGATTTGGGGCAAACGTCAGCGTCCTAGGAGTCCAGGTTAGGGCGTGATCTGCAAAGAGAAGGGGACTGGGGTGTTCTGACTAAGCTGCTGAAAGCCTTGTTCCTCAGGTTGGTGGAAGGGCCCTGGCAGCTTGGGGGTTCATAAGCACTGTGCTTCTAACAAAGGGTCAGCATTCGGGACCTCCAGCCGGTCATCAGGAGATGAAGCACTCTGCTCCGTCAGAGCTGTCGCCTCCGAAGCTCCGTGACGGGTTTCGTCCTGAGGGACACTGGGCTGCGAGTCGCCTTGACGATTGTGTCTGTACCCCCGCGTACAGGTGCAGGGCCCGTCTCCACCGCCGATCCTCTGATAATGCAGGCTTGGCGGGGCCGGGACGGGACGAGTTCACAGTCCCCCTCACCTCTGGCTCTGTGGGTGTCCAGGGAACTGACTTAGTCCATCAGGTGAATGTGTGTCAGAGTATTAAGCTATGGAATGACGCATACAGAAGGAGGATTTGCATCGTGCAAAAGGTAACGACCACCCGAGTGGTCAGCTATCGGCTGAGAATATGAGCTAAGTTCATTGTGGATTGTTGGCATTTTAATTCCTGTATATTTTTTATCATCATCTTGTGCTCATTGTGAGGTGATAATCTCATTTATATCAAAACTGAGCACCAGGAAAAGAACATGGTGGTATCAGAAGATGCTCTGTTTTAATTCTCTTTAACGCAGCCATTTGGAAAATGAGAGCTAGAGGCAGCGTCGCGGATTAGCGAGAAGCTTTCACCAACAAATGAATTCTTAGTTTCCGAGTCCAATTTGTAGAAGTCTTTGGTTTCAGTACAGGCGAAGGGGCAAAGGTCTGAGTGTGGTCTCCTGTAATTAGTGAGCGAAGCCTCGTGTGAGGGAGGGGCCGCAGGACCAGCAGGAGTCACCTGACGGGGTGCTGGTGTGACGGCTAAGCCTGGTAAACTCTTGTTGTTGTGACTTTTAAATATCACAAGACAGTTTATCCTGAACCCTGTTGTTGCTTTCTAAGAACCAGGCATTATGGGTGATGTTGTGGAGACAGGAATGGACCCTATTATCATGTTACGGTCAGGTGATAGCTTTAACATATCACAGTGTTGGAAGTCTTCATACATGTACATCTGCTGTACTTTGTAGATCATTAAGATTGAAAAATCTGAAGCAAGCTGTTGCCACCCAGCTGGTTCTGACCCGACAGGTGCTCCCAGGTCAGCGGCCTAGTACCTCAGGCCTGATACCAGCCACCAGAGTGGCTCTGCTCTTCTAGAAAAACAGTGATTGTGCGTTTATGTTCTTAGTCTGAGACCTGAAGGAAGGGGTCAGTCAAAAGCAAAGTACAATGAAGAGCTGAGTAACAAGACTCATTAGTTGCTTCCTGTCGTGCTGGGACTGAACTATAGCTGACCCTCCAGTGGGTTTTCAGAGGCCGATAATCGCGTGGGAAGAGATTGACTGCCCAGCCCTCTCCTGTGGAGCAGCAGGTGGTTTGAACTGTGTACCTTTGGAATTGCAGCGCAGCTTCTTCCCACTAGAAGCTCAAGCCTTCTCTTGTGGAAGCAATCTTGTTTCTATGCTGTCTGTGTTTCTTTTTTAGTGGAGGGTCCGCAAAGAGGCTATGATGGGACTTGCCCAGATTTACAAGAAGTATGCTTTGCAGTCAGCAGCTGGGAAGGATGCAGCCAAGCAGATCTCCTGGGTCAAGGACAAGCTGCTGCATATCTATTACCAGAACAGTATTGACGACAGGTGAGTCCTGGGCACTTCACACAAAAGGATCAGGGTGTGGGTGGCCCCGTACTGTGCACCTGTGGGCTGTCACTAACTCTCCCAGGAAGGACGGTGTGTGAAGGTCACATTTGAAGTAGTTCTAGCCCTCTGCATTGCACGCTGGGGATGGCACTGTGTTTTCTACAGGCCCGTTTCAGAACAGAAAGTGGCTGACTGTTCAAGTCAGCCTTGATTGTGATGGGCTTTTGTTAGTTTTGGGTTTTTTTCCATTGTTAATCTTCTTAAAACCATCTTTTAACTTATTTAAAGGTAAGCCGTATAGATTATAGGCAGTTGTTTTCAACACATTTCTCGCTACATTTTCAAGGAGAAAAAAATAACAGCACATAAATTTATATAAAATTTATGAATTTGTATATAAAAGTGTTTTCTGAATACAATCTCTGTAGTTTTACATTGTAGGCCATGGTTTTAATTTACATATATTTTAATTCTTAAGAGTTGATTAGGCAGATTGTGACTTCATCCTTATAGTAACCCTGCCAGCGGGCTTTCAGGGGCTGTAAATCACACTCGAGGAGATCGGCTATTTTTTTTTCTCAAGGAGCTGCTGGAGGATTCAAACTGCCTGTGTTTGGGCTGGCAGTGCAGTTCCTTACCCACTAGACTCCCAGAGCTGCCCTGTAGCACAGTGTGAACCTGTGTCCTAGTGCTGGCAAGGCTGGACGTCTGTATGGACGCAGATGGCATCATCTTCATCCTATAGAGCACCGTGTGGATTTGAACTGTCAACCTCTTTGGTTAGCAGCTGAAAACCTTAGTCATGACACCACTATATCTCCTGCCAAATTGTGAGTGGGACGCGAGTGATATTTTATGTAGTGGTTCAGGCTGAGAAAATGAAGAGCCAGCAGGTTGTACTATGATTTCAAGACCTACAGAACTAAAAACTAAATATCTTGGTTAAAGTTAGCTAAGAAACTTAGTTATGAATATTTTTGAAATTTTTGATGGTATAGTATTAGAGCATAGAAATTTGTTATGATTCTATAGTACTTCTTTTTAACTTACAAATAATAAAGACTATGTTGACAATTCACACAGCAGTTAGATCCCCATCCAACAACCTGTTCGCAGATCCAGTGGACTTGGGTGCTTTTCACGACTCCAGTGTTCTCATTTCCATTTTGGTTGTAGCAGGAGGCTCAAGCGTTTCACTGACCGTAACCGTGGGCTCAGGCATGTCACAGATGATGAGGCTGGGACAGGGTAGGGCAGGGTGCAGGTCTGCTGTCCTTGTGATTGTACATCATAGCGTTATGATATTATGACATGTCGACGTTACGGCAGCAGCGCTCTGGTGATTGTATCCTGAAGTCCTTAGGGGCGTAATCTCCAGATTCCGTCTGCTGTGTGAGAGAGTGGACTGTGCGGTGTAATAATCCCCAGCAGAGCGTGGCTGGGCACTTAGACAGGCTCCACATCCTGGTGGGGCCTTAACCCAGCTGATGGCTCAAAACACACCTACAGACGGCCGAAGGGTCAATGACAATTACTTTAAAGTGAAGATAAGAATATAAGGAGCCAAGAAAGCAATTTATGGGAGAGCCAGAATGGAAATAATGAGCGTATTTCTCTTTATGAAAAAACAGGACCCCAGCTTATGGCTGGGGCGTCACTTTGACTCACAGGGTGTCCACGGGTCTACATCTTTCTGAGAGGTGGCCTTGTCTTTGCCCTGCAGTACTACAGGTGGGTTTGAACCACCCAACTTTTGGTTGGAAGCTAAGTGTTTAGCCCCTTTGTCATGAGTGATTCCTATTTGTGTTTTTAACCAGATTTTTTTTTCATGATGAGTCTATGGACAGTAAGAATCTTCCCTCACCTCAAAATAGGCTTTACATTTTGGTGGTTTCTAATTTAAGAAGGGTAGCGTTTTGGACCTTGGAGGGATCCTGGTATAGTTTGTAAGCTGGGCCTGTCCGTTTGAATGCACCGCCTGCCCCTCGGGAGACAGCGCTGCGGTCTGTGGGCCGCGGGGGGCGTCTGTGGTGGGCACGGGCGTGGGGTGATGCGATGGTGGTGGCCTGGGCTTGATCTGCTGTGCCTCAGTCATGCTCGCTCCCTGCCACGGGCTCCCAGTGGGCCTCAGTCGGCTTCGGAGGCCGTGCAAGAAACTGGGGAGACTGCCTCCCCTCCCTCGGAGCCCCGCGTGGATTCCGGCCAGCGAAGCGTAGCCTTTGTGTTAGCTGCGGCTCTCCTACCCGGAGGGAGACGCAGGACTTCCCAGGATGTGCCTTTGAAACCTGTGTTGGCCTGTCTCTCTTGCAGAGAGAAGGTGTTCCCTGCACAGCAGCCTCTTCCCCCAGGAACGCAAGGCCGCCTTTGCTGAGTGCCCGGGACTGCGCGCACGGGTAGTGAGCCTCACGGTGCCGGCACAGTCAGCAGCCGTGACGGGCCTGTGCTCTTTTGCAGGTTGCTCGTGGAACGCATCTTTGCTCAGTACATGGTTCCCCACAACCTGGAGACGACAGAGCGCATGAAATGCTTGTATTACCTGTACGCCACTCTGGACGTAAATGCTGTCAAGTAGGTGCAGATATCACAACTTTCTTCACCTTGCATTGTCTGCGTGTGTTCAGAAGCTTGCAGTACGTGGCAGAGCCCTTGCTGTCGTCTAGTGAGCAGTGTTTGGAGGTGGTGAGGGGCACTGCTGAGTCGATTCTGGCCCCCAGTGGGCTGCCTCAGTGTTCCCTGGGCCGCCATCGGTACGGGGGCCTAACCCCAGGCTACTTCTCCTGGTGAGCCTCTGGATGGGTTCAAACCTCTGACCTTTTGGTTAGCAGCCAAGGACTTAACCCTCGAGCTGCCAGTGTTACTCATTTACTGGGTTAGAAAAGAATAACGTGGGCCCCTTCTTTACTGACACCAGCATGAACTTACTATCCGTTTGTGTAAGCTGTGGATAGAGGTAGCCAACATGGAGTCTTTTAGAAGGTTTTAATTTTTTCATTTCCGATTTTTACCTTGTGGGTTTTTAATAAATGTTGACACACTTGCTCTTCTTTTGCTTTTTTGTGGACAGCCTTAGAAAGGGTCATTATCGCTTTTTTGTATGCTCGCTTGGCCCTGCGTGACTTGTGCTCAAAGTCTGTGGGTCCCCTTGTGCCGTAGCCCCTTACCCCAGCTTCACGTTTTTATGAGGGTTGCTGCGCATTCACACAGTTTAGTGGGTTGGCTGGTAGAGAGGAACTGCTACGAGAAAGTATATTAGGATTTTGTAAATAAACTAGCATAATAAGAAAAAGTGAGCTGGGGAGAAGGGAGAGGGAAGGAGAGGTGGTAAAATGTGCAACAATGAATGAAAATCCAGCTTTTCTGTGAACATTCATTAAAATCACAATTAAGATTAAAAAATTTCAAATTAAAAAAAATGCATCTTGGCATGCGTAACCTTGGGTAGAGAAGCCTCCCTTTGGCCACGAAAGAGGTATCGTTGGTCTAGCTGTGTCATCCTGGGTTAGGGATGCGGCACTTAGCGGTGCATTGTCCTGGGGAAGCCCACTCTCGGAAGTCCAGCCTGCCTGATGCGCCTGATGCCAGTGCTGGAGGTGGAGGGCTGCTGGCCAGGTCATCTCAGCTCTGCTCGCTGGGACTAGGACGGCGTTTTTGTCCTGTGGAGACCGTTCTGTGTGCTGTTCTCTTCTATAGAAACACTGAGAGAAGGTTCTAGAGTGCAGAAACACATACTCGTTGACACCTGCCTGCTGCACACAGTGGGTCCGGTGGTCGCTGTTGTACGTAGTGGCCGCTTCAGTCACTGCAGTAGAGAGCAGCAAGGCCTGGTGAATGGAAGACCTTTCCTCCCCAGCCCTCCACAGGAAAGCCTGCCCTGGGCCTGCTCCAAGTGCAAGTCCACAGAGCACTGAGTTCAACAGGTCAGCTTCACAGTCAGGAAAACCAGAGCCGGGGGGAACCCAGCTAGACGTGGGCAAAGAGCCATTCTCTTCCCACTCCAGATGCTAAAAAACACTGACCTCCTGCCAGAGCTGTCTGTGGCCCGCGGCCATCCTGTTAGAAGGAGACACACAGCCTGGAAGTTCTGAGGGAGTCACCTCTGTGGGAGCAGACTGCTGTGTCTTCTCTAGCAGAGCAGCCAGTGGATTCGAACTGCCCACCTTTCAGTTCCTGCCACTGCCTCACCAGGACTTTCTTCAGGAGGTTGTTCCTGCAGAGCTGACTCCCTGCACCGCAGGGTCTGCTCAGCCCTGTGCATTTCCCCTTCTCTCTGGCCTCTCCTTTTGTAATTAAGGTTTTCAGTAGGTAGAACATAGAATATTCTAGAATGCTTTCCACACCTTCTATCATGTAAATGTATCTGTTTGTGTCTTCTCTCTGGCCTCTCCTTTTGTAATTAAGGTTTTCAGTAGGTAGAACATAGAATATTCTAGAATGCTTTCCACACCTTCTATCATGTAAATGTATCTGTTTGTGTCTTCTAGAGCATTAAATGAAATGTGGAAGTGTCAAAATCTGCTCCGACATCAAGTAAAGGATTTGCTGGATTTAATTAAGCAACCTAAAGTAAGTTACATTTTGGTTATTTCTTTGCGGTTCCCTTTTATACACATGCGTGGATGTACTTCTCTAATAATTACCATTGTGCCTGTGTGCTAATAAGTTTAGTGTCAAACAGTGTAAGCCTGTGGCCCGAGCTTGGGACGGACACAGATAAGGGAGCTGCTTTTCTGTATTTGTGAAGATGATGTCCAGTAGAGGGGGAATGTGTTTCTTCTATACACAGAAAATTAAGATGGGGTCGTTTTTTAATAGCTTTTGAAATGCAAAAATAGAAATGTTATATAAACTGGAACAGCATTACTAAACACATAGAAAGTAGATTAAAACGACACTGTCTTAGCATTCACTGTTAGATGCTGTCAGTTTAGAATTTTTTGTGCTTTTAGGAAATTTGAGTAGTCATGTAACTAAAGTTAAATAACTCTATTTTTACTAATAATTATTAATACTGGTTTTAAGTATTACTTGATGTTTTACTATTTTTACTAACTTTTTTACTAATAATTTTATTGATAATTTTTACTAATAATTATTTTTACTGTTACTAATTATTTTTACTTATAATTATTAATACTGGTTTCAAGTATTACTTGATGTTCTGAGATACAATGTAATGAGTGAGCTGCTAATGATAAGGGCAGCAGTTTGAATCCACTAGCTGCTCTGAAGGAGATGCTAGATAGGCCTTGTGGTCCTTAAAGATTCATGGCCTAGGAAACTGGACTCAGGGCTGCTCTGTGTCAGACTTGTCTCCAGGACATAGGTTTGATTCATTTATTAGATGTACAGTGCTGTAGTCTAGAACTTGGAACAGTTCTAATTCCCCTCCTCTTTCTTTGAGGATGTTGTATAATGTGTAAGTGATAGGACTCAAAGGGAGTGAAGTATCTCAGTCACAAAAGGACAAATACTGCATGGTGCCACTGTTGTAAAGCAGGACTGACCTTGGGGTTGGGAGGAGACTGAGAAGGATGGGTTCAGTAATGTATACTGCATTGAAACAGATGCGGGAGAAAACTAGGAGGGAAAATTATTAGGTATTTTTGTCATGACAGGAGTCAAGAGTGAAGGCTGTATAGTGGAGTGGACCTGGGGGGAGGGATTGTAAAACAATGAAATAATTTTTCTTTTACTTTTCCAAGATGGTAGTGTACTGGGGGGTGGGGGGATTTGTGAGGGGAGAAAAGTGGAACAATAAATGAATGGGAAAGAAACGGAGTGTTTTTAAATGGCATTCCAGGGAAAACAGAGCAGAGTTAATTTGTGCTTCCTTTTCAGTCCATAGACTGCACTCCTCCCTCCTACACAGAGCCCTCCTGCCCCCCAGGTGCGTCCCGGCCCAGTGCTGTTGCTGTCTAAGAGAGGAAGCACCTGGGCCCGTCCCACCTGCCAGAGGTTCCCCAGATGAAGGGAGGCTGGGTGGGTTTTCTAGCCACATGCTCACGCTCTGTGTAAACCCACCGCTCTTGTGCCTCATTGAACTCAGTAACTGAGTAGGAAGCTTTCCTTTTGGAAGTGAACTGAGGGTGAGCCCTGGTGGTACAGGCCTCAGAGCGTTACGTGCTGACTGTGTTTGGTGGATCGAGCCTGTCAGCTGCTCCATGGGAGAGTGAAGAGGCTGCCTGCTGCGTGCCTGGACAGCCTGGCAAGTCCTGTGGGCCGCTGGCAGCTGGCATTGTCTGGGCAGTGGCCTGGACTTGGGAGACCAACAATAGTTACCACTTTGTATAAAACATGATTAATCCTTCTTTCTCTATTATTGAATACCTTGGACCTTTAGAAAATGTTTTTCCTTCTAATAAATAGCAGTGGTTTTGCTGTGTGTTTTTTCTGTCAAGAGGACAACATGGACATCTCGGTTAAGGCGGAACCTTCTAGCTGTGGGCTCAGTTAGTGCACTCTGCTGGCGTGAAGTGGCTGATCTCCCGCTGCCGTCCGTGGTTCCGACTCGTCACTTCCCTGTGGCCAGTGTCCAAGCTTGCAGATCTTTAAGGAGGAGGCCAGAGTGCCCTCATTCTCCAGTTGAGCGGCTGGTGGATTCAAACCGCCAGCCTTTAGGGCAGTAGCTGATGCTTCCTGAGGACCAGCACCACAGCCTTCCTCTAGTAGGAAACATCCCGAGAGATTCTAGACAGATCTGCCCGTATTTAATACAGTTCCAGGATTTGCAAAGAATTTCTTGTAGTGTTTTGTGAAAAGTCTTGTTGGTGCAGTGGTTAAGCACTTGACTGTTAACTGAAAGGTTAGGGTTTAAACCCACCAGCTGCTCTGAAGGGAGAAAGACGCATCCACCCGCTTCTGTGATGATGGCAGCCTGGGACCCCTGTGCCAGTCTGTGGGCCCTGCAGGGGCCCTGGGGGGTGGCGTTGACTCGGTGGTAATGGCTTTGACCCGTGAGGAGTGCTTTGACTCTCCCTGCTCTTGGCAAGCTCATCGCAGAAGAGACCTTGTCTTCACAGCTTGAATTGGTGCCTCCCCCCGTGTTTACAGGCTGCCTCAGGGCTTCGCACACAACTGCTCAGTGGCCGGTTGTTGAGGGCCCTCTTCCAATGTCCTGCCCCTCCATAGTGTTACTGTCACACCCCGTGTTTCCGGACACATTGGAGGAACACCTCCTCTCAGCCACATTTGGGGACTCAAACGTCAGCTTTTTGCTTAAAGCTAAAAATTTGAAAATTGACATTTCCTGTGTATTTTGTTGCATTTCTAAGCAGTTGGCCTACATTTTCTACACTAAAGTGAAGTAAATGCTCTCTTTGTCCTAAAACGTGGACACAGGAACTTGTGTTTTGTTTGGGCGGCAGAAGAGGGGGAGCTGAGAGGGGACTTGGCGGTCACCCGTCCCTGTCTACCTATCCCTGTCCACTTGCAGAGGGTCCTGGACCTACTGTCACCTGCAGAGGACTCTGCTTGTCCAGCTTCCTGTTCAGTCTCACTCCAAGAGGTTTAACTGCCCTCTTTATTGTTTTACAGACAGATGCCAGCGTCAAGGCCATATTTTCAAAGGTGATGGTTATCACAAGTAAGTTATTATAAACATTCTGTATAGAAGTAAGAGTGAATAGAGACCTTTCTGATGGCTGGAAGCGTTCTGTTTCTCTGTGATGGGAACGCGTGCAGGGACGATGGTTCTGTGCGACTGGACAGACAGATGCTCAGGGTCCCGACCTCCCACCCCGGTGTCTGCCTAAGAGTGCGGACAACGCAGAGCTTCTCGATCCTGGTGGTGTCCTGCTCGCGCCCGACCTGGAGAATCCTTCTTCATGCTGGACATTTATCTCCGAGAAGTTCTCAGCTCCACACGTTGATTCCGAGCAAGCTGGACTCGTGTGTCTCCAGGGCCTCTGACGGGCCAGGCAGCGCTTCGAGGGCTTCTTCTACCACTTCTCTGTCTCGTTTACATTCCTGTGCTTTCAGTGAACAGTTACAGGGCCGCTGATTTTCTGGTCATGCAGACCGAGTTTGTTTTTAGGGCATTAATTACAGTCCCCACGTTGTCACGGCGTTTTCTCCACCTCCTCCCTGTGGGTCTCGGCCTTTTTTCGTAGCCCTCACTGCCCTCTGAGCCTTCTCCTGGGCGGACACTGCCCTTTATCGGGGCTAATGGCGCTTTCCTTCTCTGGCAGACTTCCACCTTAGACAAGTTCCAGCTTTCACAGATTTTACAGCAGGATCTGCATTTTATTATTGCTTTCTCATTGAATTTTACCGTATTTGAGACACAGATTACACACACAGACATATGCATATAAATATACACACACATTGGGCTGACTTGGTTTGGTTTAGGGCTTGAAGACCACACATGTCTTTGAGTCCATGGCACTTAGAGGGGTCTTTAGTATTGACTAGCTTAACACACAGCTCTGTGCTTTTGTTTTTTGTAGTTACAGTTTCTGGTCATTGGCTGGGCTGTGGGCATTACCCCTAGAGGACTTCATCTCCTGTCCTCCTCTCAGCTCAGTGTCCACCAGCAAGCACAGCCTCCCTATGCTCTATCGCTCTGAGGTGCAGGGGCCTACTGGCGTGAAGGTGGAGTGTTGGGCTACTCACTGAAAGGCCTGTACTTGAACATACCAGCATTCCTGTGGGGAGAAGGGAGGTTAAGACCTAGAGGCGTGAGGCGCCCATAGTCAGTGTCCGGAAGTGGGCTCTTGGCATCCTTCCATGAGGGGTCTCACTGGTCACATTCGCTTGTTGAGCTCAGGGTTCTGCTTCTGATGGTCTTCTTTCCTTCCTCCCTTTTGCTCTTTCCTACCTGACAGGCCTCATTCGACAACCTTCACTAGGGTAGCTTTCCTGAGCCCAGCTAAACCAGGGAGCAGCTGGAGAAGCTTAGAACGCACTTGGCACCGGGCTGCCTGACCAGTGTCCACGTGCACTCAGGGCCTGGCTGTGTGAACATTTGATGTGCACCGGGCACAATTCTGTTTCTTTGTTGTTCTGCTGTATCTCTCTGTCCCCAGCAGATGTATTTATTACAGAATCACGCAGAGGCCAGTCAGGTATTTAATGTTTGATTTAGTGATTGACGCCTGTCGTCAGGGATTAAAAGGAACTTTCAGAGTTGGATATGACCTTAAAGAGTGAGTTAACTGTATTCCAGTTTGGAGACTCAGTTGAATTGCTCCTACTTAATTTATAGGCCAAAGTCTGTATCGTCTCTGTTTTTAGAAATATCTCAATCTGAAAAATCATGGTACATACATTCACATAATGGAATATTATGCAGCATTGAAAACTGTGAACATTAAAGAACATGGGTGAGCTTGGGAGACAGAATTCTCAGTTACAAAAAAGATAACACTGCGTAACACCATTGTTAAAATAGGACTGACACAGGGGCTTAGGGGAGAATAGGAAAAGAGTGGACAAATAATGAATGTTGCATCAGAGAAGGTGAGGGGCAGAACTGTCCGAAAAGATGGCTGTATGCTGAGGCTTTGTATGTGAGACAGCAGTCTAGACAGGAGGTGCATGCAAGGTGGACGGGCGGGCGAGAGAGGAAAATGTGCAGCCATGAGTGAATGGAAACATAATAGAAATATCCCAGTCTGGTTTTTTTATAGACCGGTCAGTAGTCAGAACAAAAGAGGTAGTGAGGTCAGAATTTTAGCAGCCCTCAGAGATGACTTAGAGCGTGGAGCCTTTAGGACAATGACCATGGCCGTCCTCGCCGACTTTGCAGAGTTCTCCTCTTCTTGTGCTGACAGCCGACCCAGCAGAGACACTGGCTCGAATTCCTCAGGAGAGGGTGCTGACTGATGTCTGCGGACAGCAATGGATGTGTGTACTGCTCGATTGGTTGAAAACTAACCATATAATACACGGACAACTTCTTAAAAGAAAAGTTTATGAGTCCCTTTTTGACTAGTTTATTTAAAAAGCTTGAGAATAAGAGTGAAATTGTAGCGTTCTGGTTGAAAGCTCAGTCCCTTCTTGACTATTCCGTGCAGTCCTTCAGAACGGTTGGTTTTGCTTCTCCCAGCACCTTGTCCTTCTTTATCACATGTGAAAACTGGCTTGAGGATTTATCATTTCATTGAGTTGGGTTTAAAAATGTCTTTATTGTATTGTTTTGAGAAAATTTTGATACCTCTGTTTTATTTTAAGGAAATTTACCAGATCCTGGTAAGGCACAGGATTTCATGAAGAAGTTCACCCAGGTCCTAGAAGATGATGAGAAAATTAGAAAACAGTTAGAAGTCCTTGTTAGTCCCACGTGCTCGTGCAAGCAGGCTGAAGGCTGTGTGGTAAGGAAAGCGGAGTGCTTGTGTGGGGGAGGTGTGGCGGAATCTCTTTTTTTGGTCCCTCTCATCCACCTGTTTAAAATATGTGGGTGCCCTGGAGAAAGCACTTCCTGGAATGGTGACCGGAAGTCAGTGGTGCCGTTCGACTGGCCGCTCCTCTGGACGGACCGGCTGTGGCTGTCGAGTTCTTGTAAAGCCTCTGTACCCTGTGTGTGGGGGTTCTGCTCTCTCCTGCAGGGTCACTGGGGGTCCTGGTTGCCTCAGAGGGGGTAGCTTGGTTTTGGTCTATAAGCTTTATTTGTTAGGAAGTATTTCTACAGTATCACAAAAATAAGTTTGTAACTAAATGATAATCTCATCATCACAACCTCTGCTGATTGTGTTAAGGTGTCTGTCTTCCTGCAGTGAGACCATGTTTGCATGCAACGTTTTCCGTTTTACTCAATATATTTTGTCCTCTAAGAGAATTGTATGTTGTGGCTGTGGGGCACAACTCATTTATCAAACTGTCCACTTAGTGAAACTAATGTTTTCTCTCTGATTACTGCAAAGAACACGATCATGATTATTGTTAATAGATAGATATATAGTGTTAGCTCTTTATTTTTTAAAATTTTCTATCTTTAAAAAAATTTTAATATTTATTTTTGTGTGTGTACCGTCATATCAGAGCTGACTGGTACAGGAGGAGATTGTCCCTCCTTCTCCAGCAGAGCATCTGGTGGATTTGAACCACACACCTCTGGGATTGTAGTGCAGCTTCTTGCCACTAGGTCACCAGAGCTTGCCACTCATTTGTTTTTAAGGAGAGGTTTCTGGCAGTTCAGTTATAAAGGTTAATAAAAGGTCCATATTTTCCAACTTTTACTCTATTTACCAAATTGCTCAGTATTAGAAACTGACCTGTCTTTATACTAATCGCCAGTGGTGGAAGATAACATATTGGCCAGTGTCACTGCCTTTATGGAGTCCCTGGGCGGCATGGCATTTTGCTCTTAATTCTCAGGCTAGCAATTCAAACCTTCCCAGAGGCACCTTGGGAGACGGGCCTACTCAACTACTTCCAAATGGTCACAAGTTCAAAACCTCATGGAGGAATTCTGCTCTTCACGTGTGGGGTTGCTGGAAGTCAGAATTCACCCAGTGGCGACATCATCACTGCTGGAACAAGCCAACCGAGCCAGCCCGCTGCGAACGGGGCAGTGCTTGGCCTTGTGCATGCTGGCTGCCGCTGCCACGCCGTGTTCTGGGGTGTGCTGGCTGCTGGCCGCCGCTGCCACACTGTGTTTTGGGGGCACGCCGACTGCCATGCCGTGTTCCGGGGGCGCCGGCTGCTGTGCTGTGTTCTGGGGCGCCCAGGCTGCCGGCTGCTGCACCGTGTTTTGGAGTCCACTGGTCAGCTCTCCCTTCCATATACTGCATGCCTTCTGCCTTCCCCCGGCCTATAGAATTGTCTGTCCGCAAAGTGGTAGGTGATGCTCGGTCGGTTTGCCCTTCTGTCCTTTTCCCGGTGCTTTTTGATGTCTTTTCTTTTCCGGTCTGTTTTGCTCATCCTCCTGGGTCGTTTCTGCCTTTAGCATCACTCTTACAGAGCTCTGTTGGTGCAGTTAGCAGTTAGATGCTCAATTGTAGACAGAAAAGGTGCCGTTTGAATCCAGCCACAGCTCTACAGGATCTTAAAGATGATGGAAATGACAGTCCTGGAGAGCGATGCCCTCTGTGCTTGCTGGGAGCATGAGAGGACTGGACAGCAGTGATTGGGGTTTCCATGCCTCCCAGAGCCCCAGGCTGTGAAGATATTTGCTAGTACCACTGATCCCTGGTATTCGGTGACACTTGTGAAAAATAGCTGTTCCTTGGCCCTGCTCTGGAGCGACTGAAGCAGAACCTGTGATGCAGGGCCTGGAATCTGATTTTAACAGACTTCCTGGTGAGAATTCTGCTCAGTGAAGCCCTGAGTTTGCTGACTCTTAGATTTACCCACGTGTGTTTGTCCATGTCCCTCTGGAATGTGGTTGATGTGAGGTGTGAGACGGGCATCCAGCGGCCTTTTCATTTCACGCCCGTCCTGCTGTCAGCTCCACTGTGGTGTCGTCGCTTTCCTTTTGACTTGAAATGTTGCTCTTTGAGAGAGTGGCTCTCCTCTGCTCCTGGGACTAGACCAGTCTGCAGTGAAGTCTGCAATCCAGGACCCACCGTGCATGGCTGTAGTAATGTCAGTTCTTAGCAAGGGGAGGGGACGATTTGTGTAAACTTCTGCCTAACCTTTCAGAAATCTGCATTTCAGCGTGAAATCACCAAGAAGTTGGGCAACCCCAAGCAGCCTACGAACCCTTTCCTGGAAATGATCAAGTTCCTCCTGGAGAGGATCGCGCCTGTGCACATAGACGCGGAGTCTATCAGGTACGCGCATGTAGAATAACACCTTCTCACTGTTGTTCACTGATGTGCACGTGCAGCCCCTGTTACACACTCTCAAATCCAGCCAGCTCGGAGCAGGCCTGGAGGGCAGGGTAGACCACCTCCTAAGGCCTTGGGGCTGGATGCACACAGGACCCTCTTCCTGCGGGCAGCTGGTGCATTTCGCTTGTCAGCTCACTGTGCTGTGAAGGAAACAAAGCAGGTATAGCAGGTATTGAATATGCATCTATTCACATTGCGGTGTTGGCTTTGTGGTTGAGTTTAATGATAAGTATGGTTTTGTAGTAATTGGGTTTTGGGGTCAGAGGTTTTTTTCCCTTTCTTTGAGTGGTGTATGAGAAACAGCTCTTGTCCCTTGTCTTGTAAACAGTCAGTGTTGGAGGCTTTGCTTCGTGCAGGCTATTTGCTGACACTCCCTGATTCTCTATTCCCAGGAAATGGCTGTTGCTTGTCCTTTGTTGTGCAGGAAATGAAAATGGTATTTATAAAAGGAGGCTCCTGCTTCGCTGATCACAACACAGTGGGGGAGGAGGATGGAAACAGCCCTGCGTTTGGAGACGGATTGAGGCTTTGGGGAAAAGAAAACGCAGGCAATTGCCTGCCGGGGGGATGATGGTGGTGACTGTGATGGTGATGGATGTGGGGGGAGGTGGTAGGGATGGTGGTGGTGACTGATGGTGGAGGTGGTGTGGTGGTGGTGGTGGTGAGGACTGTGGTAGTGACCATGGTGGTAAATCTGATGGTGGTGCTGGTGGTGGCTGTGCGGGAGTGACCGTAGGGGATGGTGGTAATGGTAGTGCTGATGTTGACGATGGTGGTGGTGATAGCTGTTGTGGCGGGGGGATGGTGGCAGTGGTGGTGGTAGCACTGACGGTGGGGATGGTAGTCATGGGGGTAGGGACGATGGTGGTGATGATCATTATGCCGGTGGGTGGTTGGGCTGGTGCTGGCGGTGTTGGAGCTGGTGTTTGCTTTAGGGGGAGCCCTGTGTAGTTCTGACTGCACGAGAGTAAATGTGGCCCAGGGGTTCCTGGTGGCGCACTGTGCTGCGTATTAGGCTGATGCTCTCCGGTCAGTGACTGGAATCTGCCGGGCGCTCTTTGGGGCAGAGGGGAGCCATATTCTCTCGTCTGCGTTTCCCCTCAGAGCCCCAGAGCGGGTGGCTGTGTGGACTGGTAGCAGGGTGGACTTGGTTTCCACACAGTTAAGGGTTCATGAACATGATGAAACGTCCAGGATTTGTCCTGAGAAAGACGGCACTGGATCACAGGGACACTAATGCCTGCACTCTGAGGAGAGTCCATGGCACGATGTGTAGGTTTGTAGGTTCAAACCCACTGGTGACCGTGGAGGTGTCCGTGCTTCTGTGAATACTGCAGCCCAGGACATGGCAGTGGGCCCTGCACCTCTGCTCTCTCACATGGGGCCACCGTGAGTTAAAGTTGACAGTTCCAACGGGAAGATTCAGGCGAGCCCCTGGGACTCACACCTCTCCCAGTGCCTGGGAAAGTTAGGCTGCACTGTCCTGGAGTGTGTTGTGTGTGTGATGGTGTGGTGAGAATTACACGTCTTTCTTCAGAGTTCATCGTCCCCCCACCTTGCTGTGTCGCCTTTCTGGCATCGGAGCTGACTCCTGTGTGTAATTGCTGTCGGAAGTGCATCGGCTGTGGGCCGCACACATGTGAATGCATAGAGACAAATGAGTGCACGTCAGCCAACAACAGTGGGGAAAGATCATGTGTCCAAGTTGCCTTTCTGTTGCCGTGCAGTCTGAAGAGGGCTCAATAGTTTTTTTAACCAAGAAAATGATCAGTGTCAATGAGTAGATAATCGCATAATGAAATTTTATTTTACTTTTAAGTTAAAGCTTGAGTTTTTAGAAGACATTTCAAATGCCTACTCCGTTGGAATCTATGTTCAGTCCTTTTCCGGTATTTCTGGTAGTCTGGTTAGCTTGGTATTTTCCCTGTTCAGAGGCAGGACGGTGATTTTGGCTCTGAGAGGATTGGCTGATACACAGTGACACTTGTAAAAGCTGAAAAGGCCAAGAGTGTTGATTGTGGAGCCAAGCAAACTAAAGCTGTTAACAATCCCAATCTCCTCACCATTGATCTCGATACTGTCAATTAACCCAGTGATAAGAATCTTTGTTTTGCTACACTTCTCTTCATAGAGCCCAGCCTCACAGATAATCTGTTCCACATATAGATTGAAAAGGTATGAAGATAGGACACATCCCTGGCGTACACCCTTCCCAATTTTGAACCATGCAGTGTTTCCTTGCTCTGTTCTGACAGCTGCCTCCTGGTCCAAGTATAGGTTTCACATGAGCACAATCAAGTATTCTCTGGAAGTCAAATGGCATTTCTATTACCAACTTTTTGAGAAAGTGCCAGACTGCCTTCCATAGTGGCTGTACCATTTTGCATTCCCACCAGCAGGGAATCAGAGCTCCAATCTCTGCACAACCTCGCTAGCATTTGTTGTCTGCTGCCCTGTTGAACTCTGTTACTGCTGTTGAGATGAGAGGACAGCTCATGGTGGTTTGAACGAGCGTACAACATGGGTCAGCAAAGGCTACCACCACTGGAAACTAGTGAAGAGCTGTTCTTAGCAGCAGTTGGGAATGAAATACGTATTAATCCTAAATATTTTATATACAGAGTACATCCAAATTAAACCCTGTCCAATCTGGTTGTTTGAAACACATCACTGCAACCGTTCTCGTGAAACACACTGAGACAGTTTTTAAACCAGTTTTCCTTTTTTCTTGGTCACATGATGAAGTGTTACTCGATTTACAGTTTATTAATGAGATCTGTGTTTATCATTTTCTTTTGACTGGAGAATCAGTCCAGAACCACAATCATGAATGATAGGTTAGCTTTGATTTTTCCCCCCCATTTTAACTGGAATTAATAGACAAAACTAAGCCTTTTCAGAGGCAAGGATTTTGAAGCTTCGTCTGACATACTTTGGACATGTTGCAAGGAGGGACCAGTCCTTGAAGAGTGATGTCATATTTGGGAGGGTGGAGGGACAGCGCAGGAGAGGAAGATCCTCGAGAGATGGATTAATTCAGTGACTGGCACAGGATAGAGCAGGGTTTAGGGCTCCCATACATAGGGTCGCTATGAGTTGCAGGCAACTTGACAGCATGTAACAACAACTACTAAGAATATTCCCTAAAGAATCCAGAGCTGTGACTCAAACAGATGTGTGCACACCCATGTTTATTGCTGTATTAATCGCAATAGCAAAGGAGATGGATGTAATCCAAGTGCCCATCAACCAACAAATGAATAGAAAATCTATGGTACATTCACATAATGGAATTGTACAGCATTGAAAAATAGTGAACTTGTAACACTTTACCACAGCATGAGGGACGCTGAAGGACATTATGCTGAGTGAAATATCTCAATCACAAAAAAGACAAATAATGCCTAACACCACTGTTATAAAACAATACAGACATGGGGAGGTTGGGGAAGGAATAGGAAGAGTGGCTAGCTGATGGGGCCTGCATTACAACAGTTGAGGGAAGAACTGTCGGAAAGGAGTGTGTGAGGAGGCATTTTATGTCTCACAAGGATCTGGAGCACGGGGTGCGTTTCAGGGCTGGTTGGGAGAGGGGAAGGAAGAAAATGTGCAGCAGTGACTGAAACAGATGGAGAAACATCTAACAAAATGACACGTGCCCAATTTGCTGTGTGTCCTGCTTTAGCGCTCTTATTAAGCAAGTGAACAAATCCATCGACGGAACAGCGGACGATGAGGATGAAGGCGTGCCGACCGACCAGGCCATCAGAGCAGGCCTCGAGCTGCTGAAGGTGAGACCTGCCGTACGTGCCGGGTATGTCGCCGAGGCGTCTATTCCTGAGGACTGCTGTTTAAGGTGGTTATGACCTGGAGTACAGTGTTCTCAAGTTTTCTTAGTTAATTTAGAAATGGCCTATTTAGTATCAGGAGGAACACTCTCCACTTTGCACATCACATTTGTCAATGTGCTGTATGAGGTAACCTGGGTTTCCTGTGATGCAGAACCTTGTAACGTTGGGGTATCAAATGCCAGAATGGCTTCTCAGTGTGGACAGAGTTTGGTGGAGCTCCCAGGTGTAAAATAGGTTTGGAAGCAAGAGTGGCATCCACTTCCTGAACCACATGCCTCTGGAAACTCTGTGAACGTGGAGAAATGACGATAGTTACCGACAGGCATTAGGTCTTCTGTTCATAGAGTCACTATGCTTGACTTGATGGAGTCTCTTGTTAAGGGCCGTGACGCAGCCTCCTTGCGATCCTGTCTACAGCAGCTCCGGCTCTCTCCTCACTTTGCCTGCTCCGCCTGCTGTGTTGCTGTGTGCCGTTGATTCAGGCTGGCCCGCCAGCAGGTTTTCAGAGGCTTGGCAGGAGATCGCTCATCCTTCTCCCAGCTCTTGGCTTAGAACCTCATGCCATTGGGTTGCCAGTTCACTTCATTACCCACCAGGCCACCAGAGCCTCCTCTTACATAATGTTACTATTTGCTATCAAGTCAGAACCCACCCGTAACCGACCCCTGAGCAGGTTTGCAGAAGCCGTACGCCATACAAGAAGAGGATGCCATCTCTCTGGGAACAGCTGGTAGATTTGCACCATGTGCCTTTGTGTTGGCAATGCCATTCCTTACCACTAAGTCCCTAGCATGTTGTTCTCTGTAATGATATTAATGTAATTAAAGTAATGGTATGTGGTTGTCACTGTCTTTAGGAAGCAGAAGACTAGTGTCAGCCGGCTGCCTGTGAGTTGGTTCTGACCTCGTAGGGACCCTGAGGCTCCCACTCTCCCGAGCAGCTGGGTGTTTGATCTTCTGACCTTCACAACCCACCATGTCACTTGAATTTCCCAATAGAGAGCAAACAAATTGCCAACTATATTGGAAGTTGGGCCAAAGGCTTCCTAGATATTCAGTTCCTTTTAAATTTTTTAGATAAACAATAATCTTCCTAATTAAAAAAGTACTAGATTATGTAGACAATTTTAAAATGCAAAAATTATTAAGAAAACAAACTTGCTGTGTGTAAACATTATTGTGTGCTTTATTTCTATTTCATCTCTTTAAAATAACACATTTTTAGGTAGTGGAGAACAGACTGCATAAGTAAGCCTTTATTAAATCCTACACATTTTTCTCTTTCAAGCCAGTACCCAAATCCTGCACTGTCATTTAGGAGCTGTGTGCCTTTGGCTGGGTTAATTGCAACTGTTTCCTTTTCTGTAGCTGTGAGAATGGAAACTATTATAAAGAAGATTAAATTTTGTACAGCTGTAGCAAAGTGCCTGGCACAAGTTAAAACTAAAACTCAACATTGTACTAATGTCAAAAAACAAGTGTTTGAATGGTTCAATGAAAAACTAATGTATAAACTTTCACTTAAACCATAGTTTAAATTTTAAAATAAGAAAACACTTCTGACAAAGTATTCCTCTGTGAGCTTCTCAAGCTTTAAAATCAATCTATTAACATTATGAAAAAATAAAGGTAATATTTTTAAATTCATTGTTAGTGTTCTTTCATGGTATGTCCCGTGGTCCTGAGAGTTCTCCTGTAGGTGAATGTTTGTTTTTTTTCCAGCTGTAGTCTTCTATAAACAGTACAGAGCTGTGCAGCTCTGCTAGTGACCTCTTGGTCATGTGTCATTTCTTTGGACTTCAAGATAGATAAGAAAATGTTACAATGTTTGGAGGTGTGAGAAATTTCCCCCACTAATGTGCTGTGTTAGTTGCCCACCTCCCTACCTTCACAAACAGGGACTATGGTAAATGCTTAATGAAAGATGAAAATGTTTAAAAAAAACTGTGAGTGTACACACAGAGAGGGAGAGAGAGATTCCTTGTTGTTAGTTGTTTTACACGAGATTCGCCTTGGGTACCTTCTTGAATCGTGTTTCCCTGTGAGGAAGTCATGCTTCACGTATGGATTACGGACATGGTGTATGGTACCTGTTTTATGTTTTATAAGCTCCTTTGAGGAAGCCCTTTCTAGATTAGAGGAGCCCTAATGCATGCGGTGTTAGTGTCCTGGTCTGCTCCTGGTGCACTCGTTCCTTGTGCCCGATCCAGGCCATACTTAACCTAGTAGATACTGGGAATTGCTTTCTGTGCGTCTGGAAGCTAGACAGTGAACAAGGATGACAGAAGAACCGGTGCTTTAGAGTTGTCCTGGCGAAGTCTACGGATACCCCGTGGGAGGAAGTGCAGCCGGGGTGCTCCTTGGAGGCAGGGATAGGAGACTCTGTCTCACGTGGGCGTGCTGTCAGGAGGACCCCGTCGTTGGAGCACGCTGTGAGGCGAGCAGCTCAGACCCTCTAGCCACTCAGAAAGACCAGCACCTCCCTGTCCACTCTACACCCGCTCACTTCGCTTGAGAGATTTGACTCAGTTGGAGGCTGTTTGGGTTCTTGAGTCTTTGGAGGCTGTAAGCTGCTTGGGAGGAGACTGCCCCTCTGTCTCCCAAGGAGAAGCTGATGGATTTGAACTGCCAGAGAGACTCTTCTTTGGACTGGCACCCCCAGCCCCACCAGCGAGGCCGCCAGACAGCCTTGTAAAGGTGTGCGGCCTCCAAGACCTGCACCGTGTGTCAGCACTGACTCAGTGCAGGTGGGCTTTTACAGATTAAAGCTGTGAACTCTGACATCCTTCTTCCCCACCTCTGCCTGCCGATAATTGATTAGTTGGTGGTCTTGGGGTCATTTTGCATAAGAAATGCTAATGGTTCTATTTTGGGCTCCTAATCAAAGCAGGGAAGGAGGAGTGGCATCCACTTCCGTAATAGCTTGCCTCCGGAAACCTTGTGAACCAGGAGAAAGGATGAAAGGCACCCAAGTGTCAAGGACTCTCCTTCATAGGGTCGCTGTGAGTTGTCTGTGACTCGATGGCACTTAACAACAACAATCAAAGCAGGGCGTGACCAGAGGCCCCCAGCATTCTCCTCTTGTTAAGATTTACAGCCTGGAAACCCAGCAGAGGCACCTGAGTCAGCAGTTGATGCCCCAGCAGTGGGTTTGGGTTTGATGCAGGTTTGGGTAAAATTTTAATTTATTCGGACTCCCCCCAGTTTCTTTGTCAGCAGACCTGCTGTTCTGACTGTGCTTCCAGTGTCTCTGCGTGTGAGCTCTCAGCAGTGGCCTTTGGGTTGAGGAGAATTCAGACTAAAGTGCTCTCCTGGCTTCTCTGCAGGTCCTGTCCTTCACTCACCCCATCTCGTTCCATTCTGCGGAAACCTTCGAGTCTCTGCTGGCTTGTCTGAAGATGGACGATGAGAAAGTCGCAGAAGCTGCCCTGCAGATCTTCAAAAACACGGGAAGCAGAATTGAAGAGGATTTTCCGCACATCCGATCGTGAGTGGGGGCGCTGATGGGTGTTTGAAAAGTCGGCAGTAATGTTGCTGTTTCTTGACTTAATGCAAGTACTGGAGCATCTTAAATGTTGATGGAAAAGTGTCAGAGTCAGTTTGGGGTCTGTACTGTTGAAATTGGATTCCACTTCCTTGGGAGAAAGGTTTGCTATTCTAAAGTCACAGGAACTTGCTGACTGAGCAGAGTGTGTCTTTCTGACGTGTTGCTGATTGGCAGAGTCACTTCTAACTCGTAGGGACGCTGCCCTGGATTGGAGGCTGGAAATCTTCCAGCAGGGAGACTGCCCACCTTCCTTCCGCAGAGCAGCTTGTGGCTCTGAGCTCCTGACCTTTTACACAGTCTAACGCCTAATGCACTACTCCCTGGAGCCCCTTGGTTGTGCGTGGTGTGTGGGTAGTGGTGACTGTTACAGACAGCAGTCCCTCGTGTGTTGGCAGAGAGGCGGCAGTCCAGGGCACTTGCCGTTGGAGCTGGGATGGCACTGTGGCCAAAGCGCTCAGGCACTCCGGGAAAGGGGGTGCTTTGAGCCACTGGTGCTGTGCAGGACAGTACTGTCGCCATCTGCCCCTGTCAGCGCAGCAGCCAAAGGCCCCGGGGCGCCGCCCTGTCCTGTGCGTCCCCTGTGTGGACATCGTTCCCAAGCCTGTGGGCTGGTTCCTTTGGGCTCGGCAGCACCTCTCTGCTGTGCCCGAGGGCACTGGCTGGAAGGCTCCCCACAGCATCACCGTCCAGTGTGAGGCTGGGGGCTTGGAGGAAGCAGCCCCCTCACCTTCCTAGGCCGTCACCTGCCCTCCGCCCGGTTCCACAGTTTGAGGTTGCTGAGCTCTGTGCTGCCTGTCCTGCAACAGACAAGGGGTCCTGACCTGTCTGCCTGTGCTGCGCCCCCTCCTGCTTTTCTTTGATTGGGGTTAGATCTGTGTCTGCAGGGCACTGTCTAGTCAGGCAGGATGGCATAGCCTAGCAACCCCCCTCGCCTCTCCCAGTGTGTCTACACATCTGTCTTTCATAATCGCACTCACAAGATGCCAGCTACACTGTTAACAGGTTTGCCTGCCTCCTCAGGGAACCACAGACTCCTGAGATTTGCATAGTTCTCCTGACTGTGTCAGAGTTATGCCTGCTAGGGCACCAGACGCCACCTGGGTCAGATGCAGTGCTGTCTGCAGTGGGCCCCAGCCCCTGCTCGGAAAGGCTGGGCTCAGTGGTCCTGCGGTCTGGTCCTGGGGTCTCAGTGCTGGGTGTTGGCCTTTTGCGTGGCTGTGAGTGTGATTCCAGGGACTGCTGGCAGTCCTCTGTGGTGGAGGGTCGTCTGAGGTGGAGGCCCTCTGTGGTGAGGGTTCACTCGTATGCATTCTAAAACAGCCTTCAATTTTTTCCCCCAAAATCCTGCACCTTTATGAAAAGAAAACTGTTGTATGCCCATGCTGCCAGTCTGTTGAATGACCTTTACCTTTTAAAAGCTGGTTTTTGACACCTATCATTAGAAACAGGTCATGCTGAGAAAGACCCAGATGGGTGAGAGTCCACATGCGGGTTGACCTGGGGATTGTGATGACGGTGCACACGTGTCCGAGACTGTGAGGCTGTGACAGGGTTCAGATCTGACGTTCGGAGGGCTGCTGTGGGGCCCTGATACAGCCACTGACGGCTCTGTTTGTGGGAGAACTTGGAAAACAAGGCAGACTGTGGGCGTTTCAGCGTGCTGGAGGGCACCTGAGGATGTGGGGTGAGCATGGAGCCACGGTCCCTGCAGCTGTCTGATAGCGAGGTGTCCAGTCCTCCGGCCGCGTCCCTGCCCTGGGCACACACTGCAGAGAGTGCGTGTGTGGCGTGGAGAGGAGGGATGGCACGTCTGGTAAGCTCATCCTGAGGGACAGTGACAGCAGTAAGTGCCTGTTTATGAAATGATCTTCACTGCACGTCTCAAGACTATTTAAAAGAATAAGAAAACCAAAGATACGAAAGTGGCCCCTCCTACAAGCTGGATGGGATGACATCAGACAGAATCCCATCTTTACCAGTCGAAGGTGGCGGCCTTGGTAATTAGTTCTTGTACCAAATCCTGTCACACGTGAGAGGCAAAGCATGGTCATTGCCATGATTGTTTGGAGCCCTGGTGACTCGGGGGTGTGAATTCCTGCTATGAACTGAAGGTGGGAGGTTTGAACTTGCCAGCTGCCTGAGGAAGAACGACTGGTGGTCCAGTGGTCCAGTCCGCTTGCTTGGCGTTTGTAGCCTAGAAATCCCGGAAGCGCTTCTGTCCTGAGGCCATCGTGAGCAGAATGGACTCCTACCTCAGTGTGTGCCATTCACTAATTAGAGGAAGGCAGGATTGTGGTGTGGTGCAGATTTTGAAGGAGCTAAAGCTCAGTTTGAGTTGTGCCAGGATTAATGAGAGGCTGGTTTAAGTCCAGCCTCGGTCTGTCTGCTCTGAGAGCGAGGCAAAGGGCCACGGGACATGCGTCTCATTGCCAGCGGCGTGGCAGCCAGACAGTTGCTCAGAAGTCACGTGCTGACCCAGTCAGCAGTGATGGAGGGTGACATTCGGTCCTGAATCAGTCACCGCATCCTAGCGCAGCGAAGGTTTCCGTGGACGTGGGGAGACAGTGCACAGAGCCGGTGTCACTCTGCCGACTAAGGTATACCTCACCGGTTCAGTGCGTCTGCAGGTGTCTCACGCCTGTGCAAGTCGGACAGTGAGTAAGAGGATCTGCTTGCTGCGGGTGAATAAACAGGGTGAACTTGCAGATGAAAAGACTCAGTTACGTAATATCCTGGTTTATGACTGTAGGACTGATTGCACAGATGTCAGGGCAAAAGGAGACGTGGACGTCCTGGAAGACAGACGACTAGAATGTTCCTCAGAGGTGAGCGCGCTGCGGCGGCCTCTGATGCACTGTGGACCTTTTACCAGGAGAGGCCAGGCTCTGTGCGTGACCATGTCGTGTCCACAGTAGAGAGGCCAGTTCTGAGTGGGCTGTAAGGACGCCGCCAGTCAGGAGGCTGGCCCTCAGCAGCAGTGCGGGGTCGGGGGCCCTCTCCCCTCTCCTGAGCCGGTAAGCTCTGTGGGGGCCACCGCCCCTCTCTCCCACAGAGCAGCTGCTGTGCCCAGAGAGAACGGGCTTTGAGTTAGCCCCTCACCACCCTGTGTTTACGGGGAAGCAAATGACGCCCGCCTGCTGTCCTTGGCGCAGGCTCTCGGTCTGTCTCTCGCTTTAGGCTAGTCTCAGCTGTTAAGCTGTAAATGTGGTTATACACATATATTTGAAAAATACTTTAGTCTCTCTTTTTTTAATGATGTGGATTAGTAAAATTGGCTAAAGAAGAGAGAAGGAAAAACCTAATAAATGAGAGTGTAATTCTGAAAGAAATAGAGAAGATGGCCTCTCAGCTGATTCCCGCGGGGAGTTTGGGATGTGGCAGAGCTGCAGCTGCTGCTCCCTTCAGTTGTCCCGACTCTGGAGTTGTGACAGGAAGCATTGTGGCTGCTTTGACAAAGCCAGGACAGTGGCAGCAGACGCTGTGGGTGCGGAGTTGGCACCACTCGTCTGTCCTCAGGTGTGTGCCGGAGTTTTGGAGGCTAGGCCTGCCTGCTTTCTTGGGCTTAAACCATCAACCTTTAGCTACTTGTTAAAACCATGTTCTCTGCTGTGGATATTAAGAGGTATCACACTCCCTGCCCAAAAGAAAACATTGATGCAAAAAGCCCAAGTAAACAAGAACCTCATCATGGTACAATGTAGCGAATTCTAGGGCTACACTGGTAGGCTGATGTCAGTAAACCTCATTATTTACAAGTGATTCATGAAACCAGACACACAGTTGTCCACTGTCACTGCAGCTCCACGTCAGAGAGGAGAGGTGCTCCGAGCGTTCTCATTGGCTGCTGTTTGGACGTGCGTTGCTGACTTTTCTGCCCTGGGACATCTGGGTGGCTCAGCCCTCCATGGTCGGCTTGGTGTCTGAGTGCGTTAAGGGTTGGTATCTTGGCCACATATGGGTAAAAGGGAACAAGATGGCTAATTGTGATAGATGATGAGAGAACTTGAGTTTAAAGAAAGAAATCACTCTGTTTGCAACATTAATCCACCAAAACAGAGTTACTTACTCTGGTAACATAATCTTTCAGTTCACTAGTTATTATCACATAGTGCAAATGACACTTCTTGCTGAAAGTAAAGAGGGCTTGTAGAATGCAGCCTTCAGTATGGATTGTGTCTCAATGTCAAGAAAACAGATTCTTACCACTGACTGGACCAGTAGGCAGCGTCATGGTGGGTGGAGAGGAGGTTGAAACTCTCACCAGCCTCATCTTACTTGGTTCCACAATTAACACCATTGGTGCCAGCAGTCAGAAAAGAAGGAGATTCACTGCACTGGGGAAATATACAGTTAGGGACTGCTCCAAGTTATTGAGGAGTACTAGTGTCAGTTTGAGGACTAAGGTGTATCTGATTCAGGCCATAGTCTTTCTGATCACTTGCTGTGTATCTGAGAGCTGGACAGTGAATAAGGATGATAGAAGAAGATTTGACACCTCTGAGCTGTGGTGCTGGAGAAGAGCACTGAACATCCCACGGACGGCCAAGAGAACAGATCTGTCTTGGAGAGGGTGCAGCCGGAGTGCTCTTTGGAGGCAGGAATAATGAGGCTTCACCTCACATGCTTTGGACACATTGCTAGGAGGTGCTATTCCTTGGAGAGGGACATGATGCTGTGACGGGTGGAGGGTCGGCGGAGAGGAAGACCCTCTACCAGGTAGATTGACACGGTGACTGCCACAATGGGCTCTGTGTGTCAGGAAGTGTGAGGATGGCGCAGGACAGGGCAGAGTCGGATCTGTTGTTCACAGGGTTGCTGTGAACCATATTTGGCTCAGCGGCACCTGAGGATATCATGAAATGAAGGACTAGAAGTCTTTCCAGCGAAATGAAGAAAAGGTGAACAGTGGTGAGGAAGAGTTAGCCAGTGCGATTGTGTCA